CAGCCCTTGGGCTGCAGAGTGGCAGGGAGGCTGAGAATCCCTCTCTCCACCCAGTACTGGAACATCTGTGTTTCAGTGTGATCTCTGCCACTGCCTCTCTCACTGAGCCCCAGGCTCTTTCTTCATATATAGTGATCAGACCCACCGTACTCTTGAGAGGCCCCACCAAGAGCAGATTGGATGAGACCTTGAATGCAGACAGATGCTCCTATGGAGGCTCTCCCTACCTTTCTGGGTGAGAGGGCAGGACTCCACATCTGATTGACACTGCTCCCAGCCCTGCCTTAGTTGCCTGGCAACAGCTCTGCGTCTCTAGCCGGGGACACGCTATGGCAGGTGGCAGTCCAGCAGCCAAGAGGGTAGTGGTGTACCGGAATGGGGACCCCTTCTCCCCAGGCCCCCAGCTGGTGGTGACTCAACACTGCTTCCCCACCCTGGAGACCTTCCTCTGTGATGTGACATCGGCTGTGCAGGCCCCACTGGCCGTGCGTGCTCTCTATACGCCTTGTCATGGCCACCCTGTCACCGACCTGGCAGACCTGCAGAACGGAGGGCAGTATGTGGCTGCTGGCTTTGAACAATTCCGCAAGCTCCCGTGAGTGGGCTGGGGCTGGTCAAAGAGCCTGGGGAGAGAGGTAATAGCAATAGCAACAGCATGTGTTCAGTACTTCCTGTGTATCTCACGGAATACAGCGGTCCTGTGAAGGGGGTGGTCTCATCCCCATTCTTTGGAAGGGGACATCAAAATAGTGAAATAACCTACCTAAGAGTACATAAATAACACGTGGAGCCACAGTTCAAGTCAAAGTCTTATACTGATGTTCATGCCCATCCAGCCAGGACCAACCAGTGGGAAGAAGAACATTCTGCTGGTTGAGCCCCTTTTTCCAAAGGCTGTTCCTGACTGGGTCCTTACCACCACCATGACCATCACCACCACCACTAAATACTCTAAATCCATCCATCACTTCCTCCCTGCTGTGTTTAGGCATCCCGTGCTCTTCATTAGGCTGGGATTATCCTTTACAGGCTGGGGCTATGCTTTCCAAGATGGGAGAATAAATAATTTGAGTGTCTGAGCTTCCAGCTCAGATCTGGCTTCCAGGTCCTCCTCTGCTCTCAGCTGAGGTTGCTGAGAGTTAAGGAGCCAGGAGTTGGGAGCCAGACAGACTTAGAGTCTGGGCTCTGTCACTTCCATGTTGCTTAGGTGAGTCACTTAACTTGCCCTCAGTCTCATACAAAATGAGATGAAACCGCACACCTCATGAATGAGAAAATTTCTGAGATACAGGAGGATCTCGACCTTTAATCTTGTGGTTTGGGTCTGAGACCCCAGACTGGATGTCCAGCCTGATGCATAACCTAAGGCAGGTTCAAGTGTCAGCATCTGTTTCCAGACCGAGATGACTGAGACAATTCCAGCGGGAAGGAAGACTTGGTGAACTGGGCCCCAGCCCCACACTCTGGCAGCTGCCGGGCTGTTGAGGACCCAGGGCCCGCAAGATGACCAGTGACCCATCTGTCCTTTCAGCTGTTTACACCCTAGGGGGGAGGATCCAGGTGGGAAGAGCAGCAGACTACCAGTAAGTCCTGGGGCCGACCAGCCCCCAGCCCTCTGTTCTCCCATCCCCCTGGGGGCTGCCCCCACTTTGGTCTGGGAAGTCAGGAGCCCTGGAAGCTCTGGAGCCTTCCCGGGTGCAGGATTTCAAGACACTGTTCCTTGTGCCGTTCCCAAACTTTTACTTTACTTTAGCTCCAGGCTATGGTCCTCAGAGGAAAGAGGAAGCCATAAAACAGAGGGATGGGAGGGGGTTAAGAATGTGACCTAGGGGAGGTACAAGTACCCTTTGGTGAAATGCGTGACCAGTCCCATCCCTCCCTGCCCCCTCTTCTGCCCCAGTCTGGTTTCTTTCCCTCACCCTACCCACCTTGGACTGACCTATCCCTGACAAAAGGCCTCAACTCGCTCCTGATCTGGGGGCCTGACGGGTTTCAGGGCCCTCCTGTGATTCAGCAGCCATGTGATGGGGCCCTTGGACAGCGGCTACCTGCAGGTTCCCCCTGCTGTATCCAGTGAGTGCTCGTGTTGGGGAACAGGGGCAGAGATTTTTGTTTCAGGGAGACCAAGGGAAAGTGGGTGGATTTGTTCCAGGAGCCCCTGGCGACTGGGATATAAAAAGTCCAACATGCTTAATGGGTGAGAAACAACGCACTGGTTCTTGGACCATCTTCTGGCCGCTGTGCCATCCTTCTTCCTCTCACACGTAGGTAGTTCTGGGGACCCTTCCCCTTAGCAGGCTGCTCTTTGTGCCAGTGTGTTCAGGAATGGGGACCTGTTCAGCCCCCCATTTAGCCTGAAGCTGTCCCAGGCTGCCAGCACGGACTGGGAAGCAGTGTTGAAACTCCTGAGAAGGAGAAATTACAGAGCCCGGCTGTGCGCAAGTGAGTTTGCGGACTGTGGAGACCTGAATGTCCCCAAAGGGAGCCTCCCTACTGCTTTTCGCTGCCCTTGAGGATGAAAAGGCAAAAGGAAAGCATGCTTCCCCAAACGGGACTTCTTTCTGTGCCTCAGGGAGAGGCCCCTCCAGCCCAGCCCTCGGAGCCAGGGCAGAGCCTGGGTGACTGGCCCTGGTGCCCAGAGGGCCAGCAGCCAAAGGGCACCTTGAAATAGCTGTACCCACCCCCTTGTAGTCTGCTGCATATGAAGATACATCTTGTTCACCGGCCCTTATGTACTCACCTCTCTCTCCCAGACTCTGCACCCTGGATGGGCTCCCACTGTCAGCAAGGGAGGCTCTGGTGAGTGGCCATTACTATGTGGCTGTCCGAGAGGATGGTTCAAGGCCCTCCCCTATCTGGTGCCTCGTCCCTCACTGCCCAGGGGCTGCTGGTATGTATGTGTGAAGTGGAAGGGTAGCAGGTTAGAGCAGAGGAAGCCACCCTGACTCCACGTCCTGCTCTGCCTCCTACAAGCCTTCTCTTTTTTCACTGCAGGCAACCCCCAGACCCAAAGTCCAGGCTCCACAGCAGCGGGTAGGTGAGGCAGGGGGTCATGGGGGGTGGGAAGGAAAAGGAGTGACTAGCTGAGTCCTCTTCCAGCTCAGCCTCTGACCTTATCTCACTGCATCCTCTCAATAATTTTGTGAAACAGAGATTATTATTCCCGTTTTCCAGAGAAGCTGAAGTTCAGAGGAGTGACGTGATTCGTTCAGGTTAACACAGTTATTGACAGGGGCCAGACCAGAAACTGGTCCGAAGCCAGCTTATCTGGGCTCTGTGAAGACCTTCAGGACTCTGAGTCGCTGGACCTAATGCCAGGTTGGATGCTTGGAGACGGAATCAGCATATCTGGCACAACAGGGTCCAAAGATGCTTATCAACTCCCCATCTTATCCCAAGCCTGAGCCCTCCCAAGAGATGAGCCAGTGAGCATCGAGCGGGGGGTAGGGGGATGCGGCCTGGTTTCACTGGGCATCTAGAATACCAGGCACCATCTGCCGTGTCCCTGGATAAGGCAGCCTGATGGAAGAGGGAACAGGGAGGGAGGAGGCAGGCTATGAAGATGGATGGCATCCCCTCTTCCAAGCTCCCACCAGGAGCATTCAAACCTGGACTGGGAGCGGAGAAGGTAAGGCCAGCCTGCACCCACGGCTCAAGCCCAGTGTTCCCTCCGCAGGCCGATGGCCACAGAGCACAGGCAACCCAGTCCTCTCCAAAGGAAGCCAGGCAAATTGAGCCATCTGCTTTTTATGCCAGCCCCCAGCAAGCTTTTCCGCATGCTCTCCACTCTCTTGAGGGGATCCAAGAATCCAAGGCCTTCTCTGCCAGCCTCTAACAGTGACATAGGATTGTCCCTGCTACGCTGAGGGAGTTCCATGGGGGCAGAATGCCCAGGTTCAGAGCTGGTCCTGACTTCAGGACGACTGTCTCCTACTCCCCCGTGGGCAAGGCCAGTCCCTTGCCTCTTCACAGGGACCTGGTTTATGAAAAGAAGCACATGGAAACTCAAAGCCATGACATTTCGGGGGTGGGATTTGGAAGGGGTGG